TCCCCCATTCACAAGGGAGGATTGCCTTGTGGTTGTGCTGCCGCTGCTCAGCTCCAAAGGCAGCTCCACATGCTCCAAACCGGAACTCTTCACCTCCCCAAACCGCACGCCTATCTTCGCCTCATTCTCCGCCTTCCAATCCTTGTACATGAAGTTCTCCATGAACTTGCAGTCCCTGCTTACCAAGAACTTCTTGGTGAATGGGTCCCAAAGAAGCCATCCCTTGCTGTTTTGAGCCATGCCCAAGTGCACGGCCCACACCGCCTTGGCACCAAGCTTGTTGTGCCGAAGATGCTTAGGCACGAGCGCCATGCACATGCACCCGAACACCCGAAGCATATCCACCTTTGGCTTCCTTCCTAGCCACTCCACATAGGGCACCCATTTGTCTGCTCCCACATGAGTCAAGGCTCTGTTCTTGGCCACACACGCGCTCCGCACCGCATCAGGCCAGAAATAGTCGGGTAGCCCGGCTTCAATGAGCAACCCGCGTGCCGCCTCCGTGATTGTGCGGTTCGCTCGCTCGGCGATGCCGTTCATTGCAGGGGAGTATGGCATGGTGAGGGAGTGCCGAATACCATTCTTCTTCAGCCACAACCCAAACTCCTTGCTCAGGAACTCTCCCCCTCGATCGGTGCGGATTGACTTGACTAGACGGTCTTGTTGCCGCTCCACCATCGGGAACCAATCCGTCTTCAACGTTTCAGCCACGTCGCTCTTCTTGGCCAGCACGTACACCCAAGTCATGCGGGTGTAGACGTCGACAATGGTGAGAAAATACTCAGCTCCAGCAGCTCCAAGCTTCAGGGGGCCCACCACGTCCATCACCACCTCATCAAGCGGTGCCTTTGCCGTTGCCTCCGAACTAGGGAACGGAAACCGGGTGAACTTGGCTTGAATGCACGTCGGGCAGCCAAGCACCTCATCGGGCTCCCCCTTCACACGTATGCCAGCAACCATCTCATTCTTCACTAGCTGCTGCAAGATGGGCAGGGCCACATGCCCCATGCGCCGATGCAAGGTGAGCCAATCACACTCCCCCGTAGCCGAAGTTGGATTGGAGAATGCCGCGCTCGCAATAGCGCCCCACATACTCTCTCCGTAGTCCTCCTCCGCTGCTGCCTCTGGGTTCTCCTCACCCTTTTGCTGCTCCTTGGTTGCTGCACCACTCTCCTTAGGTTCACTGAACTTGCTGGTCCCTCCAGGTTTGCTCTTCTTGAGCTCATTCTCCTTAGCGCGACCGTTCGCGCCATCGTCGCTACCGACCGCTCCATCCTTGGTGCTGATGCTTGCTGCCACTTGCCTCTCCTTAGGCATAGGGACCACTGGGATCTGCCACATCTCGTTGTAGACATCCCTGTCCTCATGAAGGTCCCAAAGAATTCGATCGCCAAGCCTTGCGGTGTAGGTCTTGGCTCCCTTCGAGTTCGTGTCCATGCCGGCCTTTGCCAACCGCCGCACGGAAATCAGGTTTGCAGCAAGGCTGGGCACCCAAAGCACGTTCTTGAGGCCCACCATCTTCCCATCAGCACCCTTGAACATGGCCTTGCCCATGCCTTTCACCTCTGCTCGCTGCCCCAAAGCCGATGTGACATGCTTCACCGGTGACGGCTCGAGTTCGGTGAGCAAGTCCGGGCGAGGTGTCATGCTATAGGTAGCGCCACTATCAATCACCCAATAGTCCAGGGGGTGTAGGGTCACCTTCCCCACAGCTGCTGGCTCCTCAAAGCATCCATCCTTCTCTGGACCAGCCGGTACTTGCATCGACACGAAGTAGAATAGACCCGAGTATCGATCGTCGCTCGGGTCCTTGTCGTTGTCTCCGCTCTTCATGTTTGCAGCTCCGCCACCGCGACCGCCACGGCCTCCACGGCCTCGTCCTCTCCCTCCTCCTGCTCCTCTACCCTCTTGGCCTTGAGCAGGGGTCCAACCATCAGGGAGTTTGTAGCAGTCGCGCCACATGTGTCCGCTCTTGTGGCAATAGTGACACTCGCCGTCGAATCGGCCGCGACCGCGTCCGTAGCTCTTGTCGTCGCTGCCGTAACCGCCACTCCTGCGGCCTCCGCCGAAGTTGCTGCCACCAAACCTTCCTCCCCCTCGTCCTCTGCCTCTTCCTCGACCATATCCACGGCCGATGCTCGCTGCCCCAGCGCCATCCGCACTCGCCAACTCACGGCGGCGGAAATCCTCTTGAAGGATAGCTCGCTTCACGTCTTCAAGCGAGAGGCGGGGCAAGTCGCGATTAAGGTTGATGATGAGCGAGGACCATGACTCTGGGAGTAAGGCCAGCAACTTGGTCTTCTTTTGGAGCTCACTGTAGTTCAAATCAGCTCCCTCAAGCCGCGTCAACAAGTCGAAGAATTTCTGCACCCCTTCTTCAACCGCTTCGTTTTCTTCAATTCGTAGTGCCGCCATTTGCCGTTCCAACACCACCGCTACCGCCGCTGTTGCAGGAGCATGTACACCCTTGAGAGCAGCCCATGCCTTTGGTCCTTTCTCTGGTTCACGCTGGAATGGCTTGATGTGACGGATCTGACTGCTCCCCAACGCTTGCCCAAGTAAGAGATAGCCTTGTGCGCTCTTCCGCACCCACGGGCTCTTCTCCGGGTCGTTCTCGGGGCGCTTCTCCGTTCCTTCCATCACCTCCAGCAGGTCATAGTGGTCAAAGATGTTCTCCATCTTGAAGGACCATTCAGCAAAGTTGTCACCGTTGAACTTGTCAAGCCCAAACACCCTAGGCTCATCCCTAGGTGGGCCAAGACTTGGTTGCATGGGCGCCATGGCTGAATCACGGGGTTGGCCTTGAGCTTGAGCTTCTCCACTGCCACCAGCACCTCTGCCACCCCTTTCCTCAGGTCCAGACATTGTCGAAACTGCTCCAAGGGCCTCTGATACCACTTGTTATAGTCACAATAGGCTTGAATGTGCCTAAAACGAAAGATAGAGAGCACAGACGGATTTCTGCACAGCGGCTTCAGACGTTGATAGCGTTCTGCTCACAGCTGCAAATGACTTGATTCAAATTGGATCTGGAGCGTCTTCACGTCGTCTACAATTATCAATTTAGATTGCACGATTTGATAAAGAATTGACGACACAGCGTCGATTTGAACGAACGGTACTGTGGCAGCCACTATAGTCTTAGAACACAAGATAGGAAGAGTTACGAGTTGGGAATGACTCCCAGCTCCTACAAACCCCAAGAGCCGAGGTACAGTGATGTGGAACAGTGCCACACTGTCCCCAACCACGAAGGGTCTCGAAACTACCCTTCACTAGGGCCTACACCAAGTGAAATGTTACACTACACAAAGTAATGTAACTATCTTCAATATCTTGAGGTGTACCCTTTTGGCGAGCTTCGAAATCACTTGAGGCTTGACACCAAGGCTCGGGCTCTTCATCACAAACTCATCCTTGAGTTCTTGATGGGTCTGCTGCACACACCTGCGACACGCCGAACGTTCGACACAGGACAAAATAGAAACCGCGCACGACAAAATAGAAACCGCGCGCGAGACACAAACGACCGCGTAACACGCGTCTAGCGATAACTCGCTATTGACTCGACACACACACTCGACATCATGACTCAACATTCACACACAATTATAAGCATGAAATATATATTATCCCATGCCCTCATACCATTCCATACACACACACATTCACGCACACGGACAACAAGCCGAGTGCAAACCGTAGGGTTGCACCAACAGGGCAAACAAAAGCGGCTGGACGGATTCACGAGGAGGGACGTGGAGGGCCGCAGGGTGATTCGGCTGATGCGCACGACGAACTTCATCTGTAAGGTTGACGCACCGATTTCCATGTATCCGCGGCTTGTGCGTTTCTTGGCTGAGCAGGAGACGCCAGACCTCCCTCAACAGTCGTACGGCGTGTACCTTACACGGTGAGGTTTTGATGGCTAACCATTTTTGTTTTGGATTTCACGGGAGAGGTTCATTTGGCTAACTCTGGCTTTGCTTTTCAATGTGTTGTTACTGCAGGTATGGGTTCCAAGAACTTGTACACTGCGTCGCTACAGTTCTGCAGGCGACGCAGATGCGGCACATCCTAGCTTCCCCGTTCTTGGGCATCAGCACGGACGAGAGCACTGATCGCACACGCGGGAAACACCTCATCGTCTATCTCACCTTCCTGCGATACAACCGCCCTGTCACAGAGTTTTTTGCTCATCTCCCGGTCGAGAAATGTGACGCTGCTTCGCTCTTGTCTGTTATTCAGAGTCATCTGCAGACTGTCGGGGTGGAATTGCAGCGCATCTGTGCGATCAGCACCGACGGCGCCAACGTGATGGTGGGCTGTGATAACGGCCTTGTCACTCGACTTCGCGAGCACATCCCGCACCTCGTGTAAGCGCACTGCATCGCTCACATGTATGAAATGTTGTGAATTTGATTTGTGTTCTCGCAATACGTGCTCTAGTTGTTTACGGTTTTGTTATTCGTGTGTTTGTGCAGAGAAGCGCTGGCGGTCAAGGATGCTGCCTTAGCATGTCCTGACATGGAGATGGTAGACAAGGTCATCAGGAAACTGGCCGCGTTATTGTCGAACTCTAGCAACGCGAGCCAGCGCTTTCAGTACCTCCAGAAGACAATCTGCAAGACTAATTTAGAGGTCCAAGGCATTCACACCGTCAGATGGTTGTCACGCGGGGAGGCTGTGCGTCGGTTGTGCAGGGTGCTCGGCGCCTCGATTGTTCTTCTGGCTGAGAGCAAGCACAAGCTGTACGAGACAGTCATATCGTACAAGTTTCAGTTTTGTCTTTTCTTCCTTGCGGACGTCCTCGCCATCATGAACGAGCTCAACCTCAAGTTCCAGAAGAAAGAGGTGAGCATGTTGTATTTCAACCCGTCCGTTCAGAATTCGTGTATTTTTAACTCACAATCACTAACGTTCTCCTTTGCCCCTGTCACGACTTGCTGCAGGTGGATGTGACAGAGATAGCCAAAGACATTGACGAGGCTACGGGAGACATGCGCCGGTGCTACCTTGAGTGCGAGGACATCTTCGGAGCTGGCGAGAGCCCTGTGCTGTCGGAGTTTCTAACGCTGTACGGGCGGGGTGGGGGGAAAAAGGTGCGGGTGCGCGGCGTGGACACTGAAGGACATCCCGTTTCCCGCGTCTACAAACTGCACGAGCGACACCTGAAAGGGCATGTGTACGGCAGCACGTACAAGGAGTGCGAGAAGCTGTGCACCAAGTTTGCACAGGAATGTGTGACCAGGCTTAACTTCCGCCTCTCCGATCTCAGGAAGCTGGCACCCACGAAGCTGTTCCGAGCTTCCAAGTGGCCGAAGCAACGGCAGCAGCGCGACAGGAAGGTCCGGGAGTACCTTCACGGATGCAGTGCTATTTTTGGCGACAAACTCCCGGGCTTCGACATGACTGCTGCCGAGAGGGAGCTTCAGACGTGGGCGCCAATCATGGAGGCGCACCATGAGGATGAGGGCTTTTTCCAGGGTCTGCGCAACTTCATGAACACAACCGAGGCCTCCAGGTGCGTCTATTCGTTGTTTCGCCATTGGCTGCCGCTCCCATAGATGTGCTTTAACATGCCATTTGTAATGTCTGTTTCCTCCGTGCGTGTCTAATTTCAGACGCTGGCCCAACATCATGCGGATGTGGCAAGCGACCGCGGTGATGCCCCTGTCGACGGTCGAGTGCGAGCGAGGATTTTCACGCCAAAACGTGATCAAATCCTGGGTGCGGGGCGCTCTGGGCAACGCACGACTTGCGGAGCTGATGGCCATATCGCTGCTGGACTACGAGATCGACTGGGACGCAGCTCTTGCCAAGTGGCGAGAGAAGCCCAGGCGCCCTGCCAAGGCACCAGTTTTTGCAGCAGCTGAGAGGAAGCGCAAGGAGAAAGAGCTCTCTGAAGATGAGGTGCAGGAGAAAGAGGACCGCGTGTGTGAGTGGGGGGAGGAGCAGGATTCAGATCAGGACGGTGAGGAGGGGTTTGCGGGTGCAGGCCAGGAGGATGCCTCAGACAACCCGTTCCTTTCGGAGAACGAGGGAGATGAAGCCGACGATGGCGATGACAGGATCGAGATGGCTATTCCAGAGCTCTAGACTAGAATGTACGCTGCTCTGCTGACCTGACATGTTGGTTAGATTAGACACTACAAGGTGTTGTATCGAGTTAATAGGATAGGAAGATAGGTAGGTAGGAGGAAGGATGGTAAATAGGTAGGTAGGTTATCAATGTTGTTAATGGCCCGTAGTTTAGTCTCTTCAAATAACTCTATGCAATAAACTAGCATTAGGCAACGGTAAGTCTGATTTCAACAATGGAACTCTGAATACTTCAGACTTATGACTTTGTGGAACCTGAGAAATCAGAGTGCCTTTTTTTCCAGAAATACGCCTCAGACTATATTTTTTGGACCCCCCATAATATCAGACTGGTTTTTTTTGAATAGTCAGCCCTGCCCGTAGCGCACCCCAATTTCCCGCATTACCGTTACCACGCTAGCTTCGCTATGTATTCTTCGCTCATGCCTTCGCTCAATGTATTGTTTGCTTCGATAATGCAGTTCTCGCTCGCTCGCTCAATTGCACTCGTAACACTCATACTCTGTACTTTTGACCCACATAGTGCAATCCTAGCTAGTTCGTTCCATTGCACCCGTAACACTTGGTAACGCATTCCTAGATCTGCTGTGCAGCTGAAGCAAAGCTGCTAGCATTTGCTACAGTAGATGGCATATTCCACAGCACACGCAAATGCAAGTCGCCGCACAGCCTCGATTCCTCCTCTCGATTCAGCCATCACCACCACCGCCTGACTCCACCATCCACCACAAACTAAATTCTTCGCGCTTTTCTTTGTGTTCGGCCAGGCACAGAACAGCAGGCAGTCTATCGAGGCCATGCCTTTTTTCGGTGACTAGAATGATCCCTTTGACGTCAGCCGGCTTGTGTCTAAGTCCCGTGTAGGTAGTTCCGCCTACGAGCATTGTGGCATGGTTGTCAGGGAGAGATCCAATGGCTACCGTGGCTCATCTGGCGCCTCTCGTTCCCCGCAGCCATCGCACCATCAGCACCGCGCGAAACGTCATCGCGTGCCTTCTCCTCGTAAACAGCGTCATCGCCATTCTCTTCTTCAACCTCCTTCCTCAAATCCCCATGCGGTCTGACTTGAGAACAGACGAACTCTCCTTTCTCGCTTCGGGAAACGAGATTAATGAATCGAATTCCTTGGATTTCTCAGAGGGAGGACGCGTGCCGAGCGAGGTAGAGGAGGAAAGTGGTGGATCGGCATTCCCTGAGGCAGAAGCAGTTGACGCATTCATGAACCCGCAGCTCTTCTCTCTGGAAGAGCTCGCACGCCGCGAGGTGCTTACGACAGCTCGCAGCGACATGCTGCGACGCATCGACGACGAGTTGCGACGCGACGACTCGGGAAAAACGTGCTCGCAGAAGGTCGCGTTTGTCGCATGGGCTGACGGAAACCGTGCGACTCTAGTCAGAGGGAATACCTCCATTGCTTGCGAAGCAGACCCGCTGATGGCGAATGAGACTCGTTCAGTCTCTGTAGCGCCGGTGGATCTGCCTGCAAGGCGTGAGTTTCTCTTAGAGGTTCGCGCCGCTATTGCCGCCATGACCAATGTGAACCAATCCGAGCTTGACGCGCTTCAGATGAAGCTTCTAGACTTCGAAAAGCAGCAGAAGCAGCGAGAATCGAATGCATTTTTCGATGCATGGCGTCGCGCAAACCCCCAGGTGACATGGCCGCCCCGGAATGCGTTCTCCTCTGGCCTCGCGAAAAGGAATGAGCTGCCTCCTCGCCATCCGCGGAAACCAAGCCGGGACGTGCGGAAGCTGTTCCGACGGAGTGACGATTCCGCAGCCAATGCGCGAAGAGCAGAGGATGCTAAAGCGTGGAGCAAGGCGCGGCTTGGGGACGATCAGATTGTGATGGTGCTGTTGGTGCACAACCGGCCCGCGTATCTCAGACGGACTCTCGCAGCCATGCGACGCGTGGAAGGCATTCGAGATGTGCTGCTCATTGTAAGGTGAGTGCAGCTGCTCATTGTAAGGTGTGTGCGAGTCGTGTCCTCGAAATAAACTTTTTTCATTCCTGAGCATGCTGCTTCTCTCTTTGTCACATGGACTTCCCACTGCTTGTTGTGCCATTCCATTACAGCCTCATCTCACATGCCTTATCTCTTCCCCACATGCGCATCTCTCCGTCATGCAGCCATGATGGGTACTACCCCGAGATGGACGCCATGGTGAGGGCTATTGACTTCTGCCCCGTGAAGCAGATCTACTTCCCCTTCTCCCCTCACCTCTTCAACGGCACCTTCCCTGCAGCCTCCCCTGACGACTGCCAAGGCCGGCTGCCTAGGAGTGAGGCCGCCTGGGGGGAAGAAGAAGGTGACGAAGGGGATGGTGGAGGAGGAGGAGAGGGACCGGAGGAAGGGAAGGAGTGGGTTGGCAATTGCAGTGGACAGGTGGATCAGTTTGGAAGGTTCAGAAACCCTCGGATAATATCTCTCAAGGTGAGATAGGCCACCACAATTTTCTGGTTCGACACTGTATTTGATGTTACGTGCTTCCTCACCAGGCTCTTTCTCCCTCGTTTGCCCCCCACTCCCTTACCCCATTGCAGCACCACTGGTGGTGGGCGATGAACGCGGTGTGGGGGGGCGTGGAGGAGACGCGGGGGTATGGAGGGCACGTGGTGTGGGTGGAGGAGGACCATCTGCTCTTCCCCAACGCCCTGCGCCACCTGCGCGCGCTCCTCCACGCCAAGCACGCGCGCTGCCCCCACTGCATCGCCGCCAACCTCGCGCCCTCCGATGTGCATGAGTGGCAGGACAGTGGGCCGCGGTCGTTCTCTGTGGAGACCATGGGGAACATCGGGTACTGCTTCAACCGCACGGTGTGGGATTTGATCCACAAACAAGCAGAGGTATGCGATCCCATTTCTTGAAGTCTCGTGTATCACAATCCTTGACGATCCTTCGCTGTTGCTGGTGCTAGTATAAACTCAGCACCTCTCTGTGTGTCCACGCGCAGGCATTTTGCTACTTTGATGATTACAACTGGGATATTACAGTGTCGGGCTCTGTGTTAAAGCGGTTGCCGAATGCCTCTTCTATTCGCTGGTCAAGAACAAGTGCAAGACACTTCGGCAATTGTGGTTTTCACTCAGGGAGGGGGCAGAAGACCAGCAACTGCGTAAATAACAAACCTTGGTGGAATCATAATGATGATGGTGAGGAGGTTGTGATTACAAATGAAGATACAAGGATGTCCATAAATGGTTCAGCTCCGTTGATTCCTAGGAGTTTCAAAATCACGCCCAGCTCTTTTAGAGGTTGGGGTGGATGGGGTGATGGGCGTGACATAAAGTTATGTATTTACATGTCTAAGATGTACAACACTTGAGAAAGTTCCATGGATGATCAGGAAATGCACATATCGGTTCAACTGGAAGGCCTATCATCATGCCTCTGTTCGGCATTTCGCCGCCACCGATTGTAAAGCACGCGGGAATGCATGTGTCCTGAAATTAGTCGCGATCGATTTCCTCTACGCCGTCGGATCGAGGAAACACGAGTCGCTCCATCCCGTCACATCGCATTCAACGGCGAACTGCGCGTTTCACAGAAAACGAGCAGAGCAGAGGCAAATTTCAGAAGGTCAGGGTTGTGTGGTGGCCAGGCAATCACTCAAGCGGCCTGCCATGTCCCCAGTCTCTGCGATTTAGCCATTATCACTCTCCACTCCTCTCCATTCCTCTCCACTCCGCAACCTGTTTCAGATTTCATCAAACAGTCACTCCCAGTTGATGTTCCTGCTGCTGCTCTTGCTGCTCGCTGCCATCACTACCGCGGAACAAAACCACTGACGGTGGAGCCTGGCCACCGAACAAGCATCACGTCAACGCATAGCAAACGCGAGCCATTTTATAATATACGAAAAGCCTTTTGTGGAAGACTTGGACTTACTAGAAAGCTCAGTAGACAGCTCGTGCGCTGGCAGCAGCGCATCCTCTCGCTACTCATGTCGTTCCTTGCACGACTTATTCCCAGCCAGCTCGGCTCGCTTCGTACGGTAGCTCTCACTAGGCCTTTAATTGCTTTTCATCCTTCCGTTAACGCGCAAAACCTAGGCGGGCTCATCTCCCCGCGGCACTACCGGCGCTATGTTTCCCCCGCATGCACCTCCTCGTGCCTCCTCCTGCTGCTCCTCGCGCAAGTGCTCCTCGCGCTCGCGCTTTTCCATGCCGCGTCGCCCTCTGGGGGATTTTCGCCCGTATCTCTCCTCCCGGCTCGCCTCCTCCCGCAAGCATGGAACCCCCCTGCGGCGAACGAAGTGGCTGTCGCAAACGACTCTGACTCAACCGAGGGAGCAGGCGACACGAGCGACGAGAGTGGCGATACGAGCGACGTACGCGAGACTGTAGACGAGTGGATGAGGCGAGGCGATTTGTTGCGAATAATCGACGAGAAGTTAGCGAAGCTGCGAACTCGCTGGTGGCTCGCGCGCGTGCCGCGGTTAATCTGGCCCTTGTTTCGCTATTCCGCTCCGAAACTAGGAATTGAGCTGGCAGAATCTGATGATGTGGCGATAGCAGATGGCACGTGGCTCGTCTCTAATAGTAGACGCGACCCTCCCGGAGCCCTTAACCAGGAGCTGTTCCGAAGTGGATTCGCAGCGCTCAACGCCGCATTTCGTGGAGAATCAACGATCCGCGCCGCGAGAGAAGACCAGAATCGTGCCGATTTAAAGTTGGAGGAAAATCTGAAGTCGATACGGGTTGAGGTGAAGAAAATTGATTTGAAGACTGAAAAGAGTTACGATGGCGCGGGTGCTAGGCTGCTCGACCTGTTTAACGGCAGGAAGGAATGCGAAGCCCAATCATTCTTCGACACGTGGCGTCGCATGAACCCGCACGAGCCGTGGCCGCCTTCCTCGCCTCTCTCTCGGCGGCTCGAGGAGTGGAATCACCGGCCGGCGAGAGCGCCCGTGGCGGCGGGAAACGCGGAGAAGAGCGGCGGCGGGATGGGGCTGCTGGCGAATCTTCGTGCGCAAGTGCGGCGACGCGCGAGAGGGAAGCGCGCTAGCAATATCACTGCTACTACTGGTAGCAGTAGTGATAGCAGTACTAATGTAACCGGATCGCGAGGCCCGTGGAAGAAACGGTTGAGCGACTCGGATGTGGTGATAGTGCTGCTGGTGCACAACCGGCCGGCGTACCTGCGACGCACGCTGGAGGCGCTGAGCAAGGTGGAAGGCATTCAAGACACGCTGCTCATCGTCAGGTGCGTTTATGTCTCGTCGTCCGCTCCGCCACCATTCCCCACGTCAAACAGCTTACTGTGCTCCGCCTTGGGCATGTCATTCCCCACGCCCATGAACTCTCGCCCTTCCCCTTCCCCTAAAGTCCCCCCCTTCCCCGTTCCCCTCATATACCCTTCCCCCCCCCCTCCCCTGATATTTTCTCCCTCCCTTCCTCTTTCCCCGCGCAGCCACGACGGGTACTACCCCGAGATGCACGCGCTGGTGCGCGGAATCACGTTCTGCGCCGTCAAGCAGCTCTACTTCCCGCTCTCCCCGCACCTCTTCAACGCCTCCTTCCCCGCCGCCTCCCCCGCCGACTGTCAGGGGAGCGCGCACGACACCACGGGAGGGGGAGAATGCACGGGGCAAGCGGACCAATACGGGACGTTCAGGGATCCGCGGAGGCTGTCTCTTAAGGTGAGCGGACGGGGTTAGTTGACTGCTCTGCGTGCTCACTCTGCCTCCACTCCCTCACCCCTTTCCATCATGCCATGTTCACCACTCCCCTGCTGCATCCCTTGGCTGTCCGCGTGTGTGCAGCACCACTGGTGGTGGGCGATGAACGCGGTGTGGGGGGGCGTGGAGGAGACGCGGGGGTATGGAGGGCACGTGGTGTGGGTGGAGGAGGACCATCTGCTCTTCCCCAACGCCCTGCGCCACCTGCGCGCGCTCCTCCACGCCAAGCACGCGCGCTGCCCCCACTGCATCGCCGCCAACCTCGCGCCCTCGGACGTGGACTCGATACAGGACGACGAGCCGGAGGTGTTTTCAGCGGAGCGCATGGGCAATGTGGGGTACGCGTTCAATCGTAGCGTGTGGGAGCTCATTCACGCGCAGGCCAAGGTGAGAAGGAGTGCCTATCGTAAGTCAAAGCGGTTTGTCTGTTCTCAGTTTACAATCCTATCTGTGGAATTTTTATTTCGACCCTTAGCTATAAACGACTCCTGATTCCCCCCTGCCATCACCCTAATGACATCCACCTATGCTATCTGCCAACCACCCTATTCTTGCCGAACCGCCATACCCCTCCCCCCCCAGCCGTTCTGCCTGTACGACGACTACAACTGGGACCTGACCCTCTGGTCGTCCGTGCTGCGCCGCCTGCCCTCCTCCTGGTCGCTGCGCTGGTCCCGTGCTAGCGCCCACCACGTGGGTTCGTGTGGGCTGCACTCAGGGCAGGGGGACTCGCAGGGCAAGAGTAACACTAGTGCAGCTGCTGCTGTGAAGGGGAGTGGTGGGGGAGGGAGTGAGACGGATGGGGAGGAGGGGAAGGAGGGGAAGAGTGTGGGGTGTAGTACAGGAGAGGATGGGATAGAGAAGGTGCAGTTGCTGGATGAGGACCATTGGATGATGGTGAATGCCTCGGCTCCTGTCGTGGAACGAGATGAGGAGAAGCGGTGGACGATGTTCCAGGGATGGGGTGGGTGGGGGGATGGAAGGGACATTCAGCTGTGCATGCACATAGCACACATGTATAGAGAAAGGGCCACCATTTAGCAGTGATACCACACTCATGATGGTAAGCCAAATTATTTTAGAGCTAGGGCGTAACGTCTAATTGTTTTCAGCTGCTGCGGAAAGCCCAAAGAGAATCAACGGATTCAACTAATTTGGCCTTCTTCCATGCTGGAAGTGGTGTGTGTGCACTTTCTAATGTATTTACGAGTGGCGCTTTTTAAAGTGTACCCTTTTGTAATGAGCTGCCGAAGCTATCAAGGTTTGAGGTGAAGCGCACAAAGCACAGGAGACTCCCAAGGTTCAACCTGCTTGAATTCTCAACGCTGCACCTGCTCAAATTCCCAACGTTCCTGAATTCTCGAATTCAGATGTCAGTACTTGAAAAGCATTCAAGCTATGGTACCTTGCAGTTCATTGTTGTCGAAGACACCATTCTTCAACACGCTTCTGCTATCCCTCCTCGCCGCCTGCGCGACATTTGGTAGAATCACCGTCACTGATGGCGCCGATAGAGTCACGTTTCGCGACGGTGGAACCTCGAGATCACGAAGCGCAGTCGGCACGCCGTCAGGAGCGGCGCGTCGTGCGATCGTAGACGACGGAGCAGCGCGAGAAAGGACACTGCGGCTGTTTATCGTGGAAGAGGCGAAGAAGCATGGCGCGGGTGAGGGAATGGGAGGAAGGTGATTGATTGAGATATTGGCGTGTGAGGCAGTGAGATGCGCGTTAGCGGGAGACACGAGCGGAGGAGTTGATTGAGACTTATCAGTTTGCGGCCATCAATAAACGACTGTGCTTCGTCCCTCTCCCTGGTCCAGCAATCAGAACGCTGAAGCCGAATTCAGAGTGCATCGCTGTAGCAATCAGACATCCACGCTGTAGCATTCAGAACGACTGTTTTGTCAGAATCCGTGTGCTTTGATTCTCTGTTGTCCGCACCCATCACACCGCATACCACGGTCAACTTGTGTCCGCACCGCATCACGTCCAATACCACGCGTGCTCATGGTCAACTTGTGCCGTTCCGTCTCATCCCTCCCCCGACCACGTGGCACTGGCTGCCAGTGTGCCTGGACGGGTCCGCGCCAGGGTTCTACTACCGCCGAGGCCATGGCAGCGGCGCTAACAAATGGCTCCTCAACTTCCGGGTGAGATGTATAAGCGTGCACACATGTGGACATGCAGACATGTGTATCAACTCCCCTGATATCCTCCCTTTTTCATTCAATCCCTAATTCCACCCCCACCTAAGTCTCCCCCGCTTTCCCCCCACCGCCCTACGTCCCCCCCCCCCCCCCCCCCCCCGTGCTTCCCCCCTGTGCAGTCGCGAGCGTGGTGCACGTCCCCATGGGACTGCTACAACCGCAGCTCGTCGCTGTGGGGCAGCTCCAACCACTTCCCTGATGTGCTGCCCACACCAGATTTCCTTCCTGTATCCACACCCGATGTGCTGCCCCCCCCTCCCCTCCCTGTCCCCCGCTCTGTGCAGTCGGGCGCATGGTGCATGACCCCGTGGGACTGCTACAACCGCAGCTCGTCGCTGTGGGGCAGCTCCAACCACTTCCCTGACGTGCTGCCCACACCCGGCATTCTCAGCGCGCAGAGCGACGTCAACCCCGGTAGGCTGACTGGAAAACTGCACCGTATGATGTGAGTCGGGGTGGTTTGATAGTAGGGCAGTACCATAACATGTAAGTTGGGGTAGTCCGAGTAGATCCGTGCCCTTGTCGCTTGCACGTTCAGCTCCTTCCTGTGGGGTAGCTCCCATCCCATCTCCTTCCAAACGTGCTGCCTTCCTGCCGACAGCTAGCATGCTCAGAGAAACTAGACATGCAAGCCTGGGTACCATCACTGCAGCTATTTTTGCCGATGTGGTTTTTTTAGCAACCCTTGTGCCTTTTGGAACCTTTGTGCAGATCTGTACGACTGGAATCTGGTCATTTTCCCGTACTGCGATGGCGCATCCTTCTCTGGTGACAGGCACGAACCGCTGGTCTTTGAGGTGAGTTGCGCACTGATGTTTGCCCCTCCAGGGTTGGCTAATAGCAATTCTGTGCCTTGTGTCTGACTATCGGCCCTGCACTGCATGGGTTCAATTCAAGCCATGCTTTCATGCCATGGCTTCAGGTCATGCCACCTGCCCATCCTGTCCATCCCATCTTTCATGCATCTCTGCCCATCCTGTCCATTTCACCCTCTGTCGCCCCACATACCCACATCCTTCAACCACCCCTCGCACACCCCCCCCTTCCTCCCCTCCCCTTTCCCCAGGGAGTACCGCTCTTCTCGCGCGGGCGGCGCATCCTCGACTTCTTGCTCGCACACCTCACAGCAAGATTCCACATGGGCACAGCACAGCGGGTGAGGGGTGAGCAGCAGGTATGGGGAAAGGTCTGAGACATTTGAAAACGCGGCGCATCCTCGACTTCTTGCTCGCACACCTCACAGCCAGATTCCACATGGGCACAGCACAGCGGGTGAGGGGTGAGCAGCAGGTATGGGGAAAGGTCTGAAACATTTGAAAACGCGGCGCATCCTCGACTTCTTGCTCGCACACCTCACAGCCAGATTCCACATGGGCAACGCACAGCAGGTGAGGGGTGACCAGCAGGTGGGGCAGAGCAGGTGTGTAGAGGGCAAGGGAGAGCGGATTAGCAGAGCGCAGAGCAGTGAAAGCCGAGGGCAGCGAGTGCTGGCATCGTCGTAATAAGCCCCATTCGATCCCTACTCCTCCGCTTCCTCCCACACCACCACTTGCACTCCCCTGCCGCACTTCATGCTGCCATGCACCCTTTCCAACCAGCCATGTCCATCCCTTGCCTGCCTTTCTCCTAACCCCTGTCCCTCATGGGCCTCTTCACTTTCTATCGTATTGACCATACCAGGTGCTTATATCGGGGTGTTCAGCGGGTGCACTGGTGGTGTACCTACACTGCGACTACATCCGCCACGCACACATGCCCCCATCCGCATCCGTTCAGTGCCTTGCAGACTCGGGCCTCTTCCTTGACATGTGACCTGCTTCCTCTCCACACTCACCCAATCCCTCGCCCAAAACTCACTCCTGCTTGATCCGCCTTCACTTGAGCAATCCCATACTGCTGGATCACTGTTCGTTAGTACCATCCCATGCCATGGAAAGGAACGTGCCTCTGTTCTCTCAACCCAACCCCTCCGCTGCTGTCCCTCCTTGTGCCACAGTCCAGACATCAGTGGCGGCAGGGCGGCTCAAACGCTCTTCCGATCTGTGCTCACCATCCATGTGCGTATGCTCTTCAACCCTCTCTGATTCCGTGGCATAGTGCACGCTTGTCATCACATGTGCAAGCAACCACATCACAGTGCGTGACTGTCTGCCATCCTGGGTATCCGTAAGCCATCATAGCCTCACCATGCCTCGCTATGCTTCTGGGCTGCATATGTGGCAGAATGTGACTGGCAGTCTTCCCGCTTCCTGCGTCTCCTCTCGTCCACCTGAAGACCATTATCAGGTGCGCTCTGTTTCTAACATCTGTGCTACCAACAGCAGTGGTGGCGCTGCGTATACGACTCTAGGGCTCTGCCATCTGTCACATGTGTTGTGATATGTGGACTTTTGAGACGTCTCAAAGGACTTTTTACGACAGCCATACGCATGCCCCACCCTGTGCCTGTGCTGTGTGGCAGTGTTTCATGTCAGCACAGCTACTGCCCCTCCTCAAGACGCCCACCTTTATCATCAACAGCAACTACGACCTCTGGTTGGTACGCTGCTCCCCCCCAACCTGCAATACCCCGTTTCTTTCAACTATGTCCTGTGCAGCATCTCTCAGCGCGACTTGGAGGTGCCTCAAAGCCACACCTGCATTGAACCCCTCTCTGGATCATCGTTCTGCAAACTGTTATGAGCTCTGCACGGCAAGGATGTCCACTTCGTCCGCCCACCTCTCACCCTTCCCTTAATTGGTCTTCGCCCCTCCAGCTCTTCCCACCTTCCCCTCCTCAGCCCTTCTTCACGCTTTCACTCCTCCCCACCTTTTCTCTCATCCATTCCCTCGCTGCACCATGAACCGCACCCCTCCACCTGCCCCACTCCTGTGCTCCTGCCAGCTGCGGCATGCGCTGGCCCCACCAGAGGCGGACCCGTCTGGCGAGCTCATTGCCAGCTGCTTGAGGAAGCTGCACACGTGCAACCAATCACAGCTCGCCACCTTGCAAGGTGACGTTGCGCTGCAGCCACCAGGGTGAGTCACCAGGGTGGCTGCATCCACCCAAACTATCCTGCGTTCCGTCTCTGTATATTGTTTGCCTTCCTGATTCTTCCCCTCAACCCATCAGTTTGCCATCCCATTCGCCTCACTCTACCATTTGCCATGCCCTTTCTCCTCTCACCCCTCTTCCTTCACCCCTTCCTCCCAGGAGTGCGGGACACAGTCACAGCAAATGTGGCACCCCTCCTGCCACCCACGGCAGCCGCCGGGGGAGGGGAGCAGTTGGGTGTGCAGCAGCAGCACGGGGTGTTTCTGTTCTCCTGCCTCACCCACTGCACGAGCCACTACGAGGACCACTGGCTGCGACTCACCGTGCTCAACCAGGTCCCACCCACCCCCACCTCACCCTCTCTCTCCTGCCCCAGTCCACTTCACATGCGTCGGTTTCCTCCTCACTCTTCCACCACTCACCCACCACTCACCCGCCCTCACCCATCTGTCACCAACCCCTCACCCACCCGTCACTCGCGTTTCCCTTGATGTGCCCCCCACGCCTCCTTGGCAGACGCTGATGCATGCTGTGGGCAAGTGGCTGCGAACTGTGGACGCTACCACAGATGCACAGAGCACCAGCACCACGCACGGTGGCGTAGATGGGTTTGAGGCGGTGCTGATAGACTGCCCGTACCCGTGCAACTCATGCAACGTGCGGGCACCGCCTCCCATGCCACCCACAGCACAAAAGCAGGTGGAAGCAAGTCAAGGGCAGGAGGGGCCCAGGCAAGGGCAGGCAGGGGTAGCAGAAAAGCAGGCTGTTCAAGGGCAAGCATTGCAAGCGCAGGTCAACACAGGTGCTGCTCAGGGGCAGGTCAAGACAGATGCCCCACCAGGGCAGGTGGGAGCACAGGCAGGGCAGGTGCAGGTGACAGAGGTGGTGCAGAGGGATGGGGGTGTGCAGGTGACAGAGGTGGTGCAGAGGGATGGGGGTGTGCAGGTGACGACAGCGCAGGCTGGACTGGTGAAGCCAGAAACAGGTGGAGTTCAAACTACTGTGTGATTTGCATGGGGCGCTTGTTTCGATATCTGAATAATACAAAAGTTGTGCTTGGTAAAGGCACATACGGTATCAAGCCTCCCTTCCAGAATTATCTGCTGCAGTGCCAGTCAAGCTGCCTCCTTAAGTTGATAAATACAGGGCCTGCTCTTATGACGAGAGGGGCCATCCACATGTGGCATACACACACACAGGCTCCATGTTTCCCAAGGGTGCTGTACGCACAGTTTTGCCTCCTTCACACACAACCTTGTTCCTTCACACCCGTGTCACTCATCCCCCTCCTGCTCTTCCTCTGCACCTGTTCTGCATCACTTCCCCACTCCCCCCTCCCTTCCCCCCCTCCCCCTCTTCTCTGCGTCACTCCTCCCCACCCTGCTCCACCGCACCATGGTACGTGGTGCCATTAATGTTCACTTCACGGCCCTGCAACCTTTCGCTTGACATAAAACCAACAACTGGTGTCACTGCTCCCCACCCTGCTCCACCACTCTGTGGTACGTGGTACCATTGATGTTCACCTCACCACCACCCGACCCCGGGTACTCAAAGAAGAACGCGTCCTCCACGCGCCCCCCTTCATACCGCAGCTCAATGCCATTCCCCCTTATCTCATACTCCCCCCTCCCCTCCCTCTCCTCATCATCCACCTCCCCATCCCTCCCCTCTAACCCTACCCATCTCCCCACCCCCGTCCCCACTCCCTCCCCCACGCTCACCCCCCCTGCCTTACACGGCAATATCCCCGTTGCTCCCTGCACACTGAACGTCCCATCTCCACGGAAAGTCACGGTGGTCCCACCATGCACCCCTGAAGCTTCTGCTGCATCCACAAAATCTCTAGCCGCGGCGTGAACAAACCTCCCTTCCAACCGACACCCCTCCTCCGCCTCGCACGGCTGGACCCTCTTAAATACCACGTCGCCGCCGCCCACCCGCACCTCCTGCTGACCTGGCGCCAGCGCCACCTGGCACCCGCTGTACTCAAACTCGTGCGCCGGGCCGTGGGAGTGCGAGAGCGGTACGAAGCGGTGCGGGTTGGTGCGGCGGTCGTGGTGGAAGTCGAAGTGGCGCGGGTCCCCGTGGGGCAGGCCGAGGTAGAGCTCCCCCGTGGACAGCAGCGCCCAGTATTCCGTCCATTCCTTGAATGAATAGCTGGAACAGGCAGTGGGAGGGCAATAAGGAGGATGGGGGAAGGAGTGGGGTGGCGGGCAGTGCGTGGGGGACCAGTGGAGGGCTTCGAGACGTCTCAAAACAGGCAAGGGTAGAGCTCGCCTGTGGAGAGCAGCGCCCAGTACTCAGTTTACTGCTTGAATGAGTAGCTGGTTGGGGGGAGATTGGGTGGCATTGGGGCAATACCGGTGCGGATTTCGCGGCTTTCCTGGGGGTCAGTAGTGTGGGAGAGAGGGGTGGGCAGTGGGGGGACAGTGGTGGGCAGAGTCGGAGCACAGGGAGGGGAGAGTGGGAGCACTGAGGGGGCGGAGTAGGGGCTTGGGGGGGGCGGAATGGGAAGGTTGTGAGGGCAGAATTGGGACATTGGCGGGCATGGGGGGGTGCATTGGACTTGTAGTGCTTGCTAATCCCCGTTCTCTTGGAATTTTAAACCATTGTCGGGGGACAGGGGGGAGCGGGGAGGGGATGAGACATACCCGAAGGTGAGCACGTTGGGTGTGTAGTGTCTGCTGCGCGCCACATACAGCTCCTCCACCGCCACTTCCTGCGGCCCCTCCCCTTCCCCTTCTCCCTCCCCCTCCTCCTCCTTCCGCCTCTCCTCCTCCGCCGCGCGCATCATCATCATCTCCCGCTCGCGGCGCCATCGCTCCATGCGCTGCTTCACCGTCTCGCGCCCCCACTTCCGCCCGCTCGGGCCCCCCGCCTTGCTACTCCGCGCTTGCCCCGCCTGCGTGACTGCGCCAGTAGGCGCACCCGCGCTGTTTCTCCGCGTTTCTGCGCCGTCCTCGTCCTTGCGCGGGTCATTTCCCTCCGCTCCTCCCCCTTGCGCTCCGCCTGAACGCGCGCCCCCCGTCGCGCGCACCCCCACATCCTTGAGTCCCGGCGGGCGTTCCGCGCCATTTGCGGAAGCCGGGTCCGCACGCGCTTGGCGCGCAATGCTCGGCAGCGGAAATTGCGGGAGGCGGCGCTGAAGGCCGTCCACATGGCGCGAAAGATTCTCCCGCCACTGGCGCGCCACATTACCGCTCTCCCACTCCGCCCGCACGCCTCTAACAAACGAGACTATATCGAGATCCGAGCCGGACCGAACGGTTCCTTCCATCGCTATGCAGCGTCGTATGGCAATGCTCTGGTGGCAGAATGCGTGCGGCGGAGCGGACTAGTAGTAACCTTTCTGCACTCGTACGTAGCCAAGTGTTGAAGCTAGAATGCAGTTGCTCAAGTTCCGTCAGTTGTGTTTGGTGCTGGGGAATGGTGGTGCTCCCCTCCCCGCTCTGGGGGATTTGCTGCTGACGCGCGAGTCATCGTGAGCTGACGTGGAATGGGCCATGTGATGACGAACAATAGAGTGTATGCTGACGTGCTACTCGATCTGCAAGTGAGAGTGAGGAGAGTGGTACTGACCTTCTCACCTACCATTCACACAGCTCTCCATACGCGATATTGCACATAGTTGATCGGGCTCAACCTTTTTAGTTCGTCGCAAATCGAGATAACTCCATCTCTCAATGAAAAGCAAATGTTGCATTTTCTCCCAAAACCCAATACACATTTAGCTATCATTGCAGACGATCAGCATCGCTCAATAGGGAATCATCCATTCAGCATCTCCCCTCCATCGCCTCCTGCTTCGCGCACACGGAGCAACCTCCCTCCACCGCCGTATGAGCCGCGCGTCCCGCCAACAGCGCCCATAGTGCTGCGCGAGCATGCACGGGGGGAGATTCTTGCGCCTCCTCCCCAGGCTGCCCCATGCGGAATTCCCGAGGGGAATGCTGCCGCGGGAGGGGGGAGGCCCCGCCGCTGATGCGCGCATGGGGCGCGATTTTCCACCGCGCTTTCGCCTTCTCACGCGGAAGGATGGCGTCTCGGCGGAGGCGCTTGGCAGGTGTTGGCGGAGCGGAAACTTGGGGGCTTGGGGCGCTGAAACAACGCATCCGCTTAGGGAGCCGCGGGGGGTGATAGTCGGGGGAGGGGGGCCGGCGTGCGGGGAGAGGGGAACGGTGGGCGGGGAGGGGGGGAATGCGGGTGGGGGGAGGCGCGGATTGCAGATACCGCGGTGGTTGGGGTGGGGCGAGCAGGGGAAAGAGCGCGGCGCGCGCAGCGTTAGCGCGCCCGAGGCGAGGAGGGAGAGGGCGACGATGGAGCTGCACGGGGAGCGCTGGGTCGACTGGTACAGGTGCGCGCGCTGCTCTTCGCATTGGGTCCTTTTCCTGGAAGATGTCAAGAAACGCGACCTATCACGCATTGTCATGAAGCTCTGAGAGGGCTCAAGACCTCAAGTCCCCGTCACCACATACCACCCATGGCCCCCCATGCCACCCCATGCCACCACATGCCCCCCCATGCCCCCCCATGTCACCACATGCCGCCCCATGCCACCCCATGCCACCCCATGCCCCCCATGGCACCCCTCGTCCCCCCATGCCCCTGATGCCCCCCGCGGGGCCCCCATGCATCAGTTGGATGCATGATCTGGACTCCCCCCGCATGCGCCACCACCTGCACCACGAGCGCACCCACCTTCGCGCCCTCATGCGCGCCAGAGCGCGTGGGGGGCGGACGATGGGGGAGTGGCAGCGCGAGGTGGTGGGGGAGATGGAAGAGAGCATGCCGCCGCCCTCCCATGCGCCTCCTGAGGCATGTGCGCCGTGGTGAGTGGGAGGCATGTGCGCCGTGGTGAGTGGGAGGCATGTGCGCCGTGGTGCGTGCGAAAGGGGGGTGGGGACTGGTCGATGGGGGAGTGGCAGCGGTTGGTGGTGGCGGAGATGGAGCAGAGCATGCCGCCGCCCTCCCATGCGCCCCCTGAGCCGTGTGGCCCCTGGTGGGTGCATGTGAGGCATGGTGGATGCGTGGGTGGGTGAGTGGGAGGGACCCTTGTTGCTTGTTCACTAGTCTAATTCCCCTGCCCCACCCATGCCCATCATCCGAACCCTTTTTCACTCCTTACAACCCCTGTGCCCCCCTCCCCACCACCACATTGCACAGGTCCTTGCTTCTCCTCTAACCCCACCCACCCCCCCCCTCTCCCCACCCCACCAGGCTGTACGGAGCACGGGTGCCAGACGGCCAGGAGCTGCCGGTGTTATTCCGCACACCCACTGCCATGCACATGGGGGAGGGGGAGCATACAGCAGAGAGAGATGGGGGAGGGTGGCAGGGAGGGAGGGGTGAGAGAAGGGCGGATCGAATGGGAGAGGAAATGGGGCGGCAAGGGGTGGCGGGGGAGCAAAGGGCGGAGGAGCGAGGGGTGGAGGAGCGAGGGGAGCAGGTGTTGGCGGATTTAAACGAGGTGGCGGACTATTATGGTGATGCCTCATGGCTTTCACTTCACCCCCTGCTACTGCCTGCTTCTGCTCCACCCACCCTTGCTTGTGTGCCCCCATTCCGCGCACTCTCCCTGCTCCAATAGCCTCAGCCTTGACATGCTTCTCCCACATCTCTGCCTCAATCGGTGTGACACCATCGTTACTCAGGCCCATCTATTCCCTCCAATCCTCCCCACCTCACCCCACCGCGCCACATCCCATCCCATCCCACCGCTTTGCACCAGGGTACGTGAGGCTAGTGGAGTGCAAGGTCAGTCGCTGCCACGCCCTGCTCGCACTGCTCCTCGACCTCTCCCCCTCCGAGTCCCCCACGCTCTTCCTCCTCCACCTCCCCTCCTCCTCGCCACCTCCCCACTCCTTGCCCTTCCCTTCGCGCCCACACTCTCCGCCCTTTGCATCGCGCCTATTGTGCGCGCCCATCCCAGCGGTGGCGACAGTGGAGTGGGCGGCAGACTCACAGCACGTGCTCTACTCCAAGCTGGACGACAATCTCCGATCCCACCGGTGAGTGAGGGTGATGAGAAAGAGAGGGAAGAGGCCTTTAGGTCGCGTGCCTCGCAGCACGTGCCGCTGTGCCACCCCATCCCAGCAGTGGCAACAGTGGAGTGGGCGGCAGACTCGCAGCACGTGCTCTACACTAAGCTGGACGACAATCTCTGATCCCACCGGTGAGCGATAGGGGTGAGATTGGCTGACTCGGGTGTGCTCTACTCCCAGCTCCATGAAAAACTGAGGTCGCAACGGTAAGGGCTAGGCTGTGGGGCCACAGAGGGGAGATGGAGGAAGGGAGAGGGTGCCTTAAGGCTGCTGGGACGTGGATAGCCGCAAAATTTATGGTCGAGTGATGAAGCTTATGGTGTGAATGTGTGTGTTTTGATGCATGCATGCTTAATCCGTTCCATCTCATGCATGCCATGCCATGCCATGCCATGCCATGCCATGCTGTTGGTGAAATGGTGTCTGCAGCACAGGGTGATGAGGCGACGCATTCACACTCCACAGGAGGGCCAGGAGTATGACGAGGGCGAGCAGGGCGAGGAGGGAGAGGAGGAGGTGTTGCGGAGTGAGGAGGAGGGGGTGGTGGTGGCAGTGTCTCGCACCAAGGACTGGCGCTTCCTCACTCTCAACCTCAACACCCGCAGCTCCTCCGAGGTGCCTTGCCTTTTGAGCTTTGGGGCATCTCAAAACACATCCACGCATGTGAGTTTGTGTGTGCCCCAATGTTGGTGCCCATTCTCATGCTCATGCTCATGCTCATGCATATGGACGGGCACATGTATGCATGCACACATGAGCAAAGAATGCTTGCATGTGCTGCCCTTTCACGTGCTCCCATCACCTGCACGTTTCCCCTCTGTGTACCCAGTCCCTTTTCAACCCTGCCATCTACCTCTCCGCAATCCAGGTCCATCTGCTGGACGCGCATCACCCCACGGGCCTCCCATGGCTGCTGCAGCGACGGCGGGAGGGCGAGCAGTGGTTTCTGGAGCACCATGAGGGGTGGCTCTATGCTGTCACCAACCGCTGCATGCAGGGCGAGGGGGGAAACGGAGAGAGGAGGAGAGCAGATAGGGAAGGGGAGGGCGAGAGGGCGGATAGGAAGCAGAAGGATGGAGGGAGGGAGAGGCACGGGGAGATGGGGGTAGCGAGTGATGGCAGTGGCGGTGGAGGGGAGGAGGGGAGGGTGGGGGAGTATCGCATTGTGAGGGAAAGGGAGGGTGGAGGGAGGGGGCAGCTGGGGGAGGTGGGGGGAGACAGTGGGAAAGGATGTGGGGGGGAGGGGGGGAGGGTGGGGGAGTACCACATTGTGAGGGCTCCAGTTCATGCCGCCCACCGCGCTGACAGCTGGCAGGTGAACAGTGAGCACATGGACGGCAGTGCATGTTTTAGTGCGTGCACAGGCGCACTGGGCATCATGAGTGGCATTGCGTGCATGCTTGCTTTTCCGATTGCCCTTCTCTTCCCTTGTGCGACCCACTGCCGTCAGCTTCCCCCCTTCCGTCTCCCTCTTGACAATACATCTGTTTTGAGTTGAAACGTCTCAGCATCTCACATCCTTCCATCGCTCCCTTTCTCCTTCTCTCCCTCTCTCTCCACTCACGGTCACTCCTTCCCCCTGCTGCTGCACGGCTGTCCTCCTCTGTTCACACACCCCGCCAAAGCCTAGCAATCAGAGTGAAGGGGTGGGACATCCAGCCATCAGACATTGCTATATTAGACACTGAGGTCTTGCAATGCTGCCTCTCTGTGCACAGCTACCCTCATTTGCTCATCAGGTGTTCCGGTGCCACCTTGCCATGCACTGCCTCCCTCATTCACTCATCCGCCCATCCGCCCATCCCATCAGAGCCTGGCGATCAGGGTGAAATGGTGGGACGTGCGTGCATCAGACATTATAACATCGGACGTAGAGGTGTTCGGACGTAGAGGTGTTCGGACGTAGAGGTGTTCGGACGTAGAGGTGTTCGGACGTAGAGGTGTTCGGACGTAGAGGTGTTCGGACGTAGAGGTGTTCGGATGCTGCCTCCCTTCAATTTCTCATCCACCCAACCCAACCCACCAGAGCCTGGCGATAAGAGTCAAGGGATGGGACGTGCGTGCATCAGAGATTGTCATATCGGACATAGAGGTGTTCCGACACTGCGTCGCCGTGCACTGCCTCGTGCACTCCCTGCCGCACCTGCTGCTGCTGCCCCTTCCCCTCTCACCAGAGGGCGGAGTGGGAAGAGAGGAGGGTGGTGTGGGAGGGAAGGGATGGAGAGGAGAGGAGAAGGGGAGGAGGGAAGTGGAGGTGTGGGCGAGGGAAGTGCAGCTGCCAGAGAGGGTGTGCCATGTGGTGGCAGGGGGCAACCAGGACTACCATGCTACCACTCTCCGCATCATGGTGTCGTCCCCTGTTGTGCGTGATCACTGTTGCCATGCTTTTGAGTCGACTCAAAAGCAGTGTAGCTGCCAGAGAGGGTGTGCCATGTGGTGGCGGGGGGCAACCAGGACTTTGATGCATCCTCTCTCCCCATCATGGTGTCGTCCCCTGTTGTGCGTGCTCACTGCTATCATGCCATCATGCCACCATGCCATCGTGCCATCATCTCGACTACCACAGCCTTCCACTCGTCTCTCCTTCCTTCCCTCCTCCACGCCTACTCTTGCTCCTCACCCCAGCCCTCCTTTAAACCCTTCTCTCTTCCTCTCCCATGACCACAGCCACTCCAGCCTCCTCTCTCACCCCTCCCTCTCCGTCCCTGTCTTTCCTACCCCCCTATTCGTTCCACACACCCCCTACCCTCCCTTCCTCTTACTCCCTTGCGCCACCAGATGCCTGAGGCCGTGTGCGAGGTGCACATGCCCTCAGGTACCCTCTCCCTGCTGCACCAAGAGCCGTACTGCCGCCACCAACCCCTCCTCCAGCAGCAGCAGCAGCAGCAGCAGCAGCAGCAGCAGCAGCAGCAGCAGCAGCAGCAGCAGCAGCAGCAGCAGCAGCAGCAGCAGCAGCAGCAGCAGCAGCAGCAGCAGCAGCAGCAGCAGCAGCAGCAGCAGCAGCAGCAGCAGCAGCAGCAGCAGCAGCAGCAGCAGCAGCAGCAGCAGCAGCAGCAGCAGCAGCAGCGCAGCAGCAGCAGCAGCAGCAGCAGCAGCAGCAGCAGCAGCAGCAGCAGCAGCAGCAGCAGCAGCAGCAGCAGCAGCAGCAGCAGCAGCAGCAGCAGCAGCAGCAGCAGCAGCAGCAGCAGCAGCAGCAGCAGCAGCAGCAGCAGCAGCAGCAGCAGCAGCAGCAGCAGCAGCAGCAGCAGCAGCAGCAGCAGCAGCAGCAGCAGCAGCAGCAGCAGCAGCAGCAGCAGCAGCAGCAGCAGCAGCAGCAGCAGCAGCAGCAGCAGCAGCAGCAGCAGCAGCAGCAGCAGCAGCAGCAGCAGCAGCAGCAGCAGCAGCAGCAGCAGCAGCAGCAGCAGCAGCAGCAGCAGCAGCAGCAGCAGCAGCAGCAGCAGCAGCAGCAGCAGCAGCAGCAGCAGCAGCAGCAGCAGCAGCAGCAGCAGCAGCAGCAGCAGCAGCAGCAGCAGCAGCAGCAGCAGCAGCAGCAGCAGCAGCAGCAGCAGCAGCAGCAGCAGCAGCAGCAGCAGCAGCAGCAGCAGCAGCAGCAGCAGCAGCAGCAGCAGCAGCAGCAGCAGCAGCAGCAGCAGCAGCAGCAGCAGCAGCAGCAGCAGCAGCAGCAGCAGCAGCAGCAGCAGCAGCAGCAGCAGCAGCAGCAGCAGCAGCAGCAGCAGCAGCAGCAGCAGCAGCAGCAGCAGCAGCAGCAGCAGCAGCAGCAGCAGCAGCAGCAGCAGCAGCAGCAGCAGCAGCAGCAGCAGCAGCAGCAGCAGCAGCAGCAGCAGCAGCAGCAGCAGCAGCAGCAGCAGCAGCAGCAGCAGCAGCAGCAGCAGCAGCAGCAGCAGCAGCAGCAGCAGCAGCAGCAGCAGCAGCAGCAGCAGCAGCAGCAGCAGCAGCAGCAGCAGCAGCAGCAGCAGCAGCAGCAGCAGCAGCAGCAGCAGCAGCAGCAGCAGTCACACCCATGCAATCACTCCCCATCAACCCCACCTCTCCACCCTCCCAGCCCTCTCCTGCCCCAAGGTGGTTTGTCTGTGTGGCCTCCGCCTTCCATGCCCTGAGAGCTCTCTTCTCCCTGTTCTGCTCTACTCTCCGCTGCTCTTCATGACCGCAGGTTAATCGTCTGAGTCAGATCAGGCTTGCATTCCATGCACTGCGAGGCTGTGCCCCGTGCTCAACGTGCAACAAAGGGTCAAGTACCCTGCCGCGCTTGACTCCAGTTGGGGGTCAAGTACCCTACCGCGCTTGACTCCAGTTGGGGGTCAAGTACCCTGCCGCGCTTGACTCCAGTTGGGGGTCAAGTACCCTGCCGCGCTTGACTCCAGTTGGGGGTCAAGTACCCTGCCGCGCTTGACTCCAGTTGGGGGTCAAGTACCCTGCCGCGCTGCTGGTTTCACATGCACTATGCTTCTCCATCCCTGCCCACTCCCCTGTCCCTCCTCTGCCCCTGCCTTTTCCCTCAGAGTGGGCCCATGGGAGCCGTTAAAATGGGCAGCCAAGGTGAGAGCAGAGAGCGACTACAGTGAGAGGGAGCGGCCTGTACTGGTGCGCGTGTGGGGGGACAGAGGGCACGTGGCACCATGCAGTGGCAGGGAGCAGATGGAAGATGTGGCTTTGGAGCATGCCTTCCTGCTGCACCACGTTGGGGGCGGAGAGCAAACACAGTGAGAGGGAGCGGCCTGTACTGGTGCGCGTGTGGGGGGACAGAGGGCACGTTGCACCGTGTAGCGGCAGGGAGCAACTGGAGGACGTGGCTTTGGAGCATGCCTTCCTGCTGCACCACGTTGGGGGGGGAGAGCAATCACTGTGAGAAGCGGCCGGTGGTGGTTTGTGCTGGTTGAGTGGGGGCACCGTGCAGCGGCAGGGAGCAACTGGAGGATGTGGCTCTGGAGCATGCCTTCCTGCTGCACTATGTTGGTGCGGACTGCTGATGGAGGTTTGCAGAAACGCTTGGATGGAAGCAGATGGAGGATGTGGCTCTATACTCTACAGCACGCATTCCTGGTGCACTATGTTGGGGAGGACTGCTAATGAAGAACTTAAAAGATGCTTACGAGCAGATGAAGGGAGTGTTCTGGGCTTGCCTCATGAATGGGTTGCTGTGACTCCACATTTTCATTAGCTACAAATCTTGAGATCGTGCAGAGCAGTGGAGCCATCTTGAGCTGCCTGCTCGATTTCTACAAAATAGCCAATCCACAGAAGGATAAGCTTTGCAATTCATATATGTTAATCCATGTACCGTATGCTCGTCGCCTGGGCCAACATATGGGGCGATCACTAAGGTATCAGACTGTGCAGGAGGCACAGTCAAAGGTGTGCTGTGCGGCTCTTCTAGTTCTGCTCACAGCACGGCACAAGGCAGACAGACAAAACAAGAGAGTGAGATGCGTAGGAGCACAGACAGGGCAGAACGAGCGACTACTCAGTGTGCGGCGCAAGGGAGAGAAGTATAAAATGCAGACAGAGAGAGACGGTGAAGTGCGGTTAAGGCAGAGCGTGTAGAAGTGTGTAGAGCAGGCAGAGGGAGTAATGAAACATACCTGCTGAGAGGGGTCATAGCCCTGGCCCCCTCCTCCCCCTCCCTGGCGGCCATAGAAGTCTCCGCCCCCCCCTCCCATGCCCATGCCGCCCCCCCATCCCCCCATGCCAAACGACCCTGCTGCTGCTGCTGCCTGCAATTGCTGTGGACAGGCAGGAGGGTTGGGGAAGGGGGCAAGGGGGGAAAGGAGGGTGAAGGGGTGCGTGCAAGCACAAAGGCGCACACGGAATGAAAGGTGCTGGCACAGGGGCAAAGAGACGCAAGGGGCGCTTGTCACGAGCACAGAGCACAGAGCATGTGTTGATGCAGGTGTGTAGCCCTGACATTGTGTTGCCGCAGCAGCAGCAGCAGCAGCAGCAGCAGCACTAGCTGCTGTTGTCACTCATGGGGTCGAGGGATGGGGTGGAGAGGATGGGGTGGAGAGGATGGGGTGGACGGGATGATGGTGTGGAAGGGCGGTGCTGACCTGTTGCTGCAGCAGCAGCAGCTGCATGTTGGGATCCAACGCCCCCGCCATGTTGAACCCCGCCAGTGACCCCCCTTGCACTGCCACCAGTGCCTCACTGCTCGCCCAGCCATGGTGCACCAGGCAACACCACAAGGAACACATGAGGCAGATGAGAGAAAGATGAGACATACAAGGCACATGAGACACACGAGGCAGAAGAGCACTAATCGTCACACCAGGAGGAGATTACAGGAACAACGACCCACAGCACCAACACCCATAGCGGTTGCCCATGTGCTGCAGGTGCCTTGAGAGACGCCTCACACCCCAACCCAACCCCTATTCCCCCCACAACCACAACCCCCCCATCTTCACACAGACCTTTTGGAAACGCGGAAGAGCTCGATGTATCGGTTCCCCATGTGCTGCCGGTGGCGCTCCATAGCCCGCCCCGCCTCCTCCGCCGATGCAGCCATTTGAGGCGCCTCACACCCCAATCCCCCCCCAACCCAACCTCCTTACCCCCCTCCCACAACCCACCTCTTGGAGACACGGAACAGCTCAATGTATCGGTTCCCCATGTGCTGCCGGTGGCGCTCCATAGCCCTCCCCGCCTCCTCCGATGAGGCAAACTCCACAAACGCCTCTCCTGTGGGCCGGTCGTTATGCCCCGTCATGATGTGCACACCGTTCCCCACCACTTCATACCCCTCGAAAAACGCCAGAATGTCCTCCTGCCCTGCACTGAACGGTAGCCCGCGCATCTTTATGCATACGTTCTCTGACGCCGCTGCTGCTGCCTGCGCTGCGCCCATCCCGCCCCCCGAGCCGCCTGGTCCCCCCATGCCTGCGCCCCCCATCCCCCCTGCGCCCATTCCGCCTGCGCCCCCCATTCCGCCCGCGCCCATGTGCATGGCGGCGAGATTGGCTGCGCCCAGGCTTGGCATTCCGAAGCCCATCATACCAGGCATCTGCCCGTAGAGCCGCCCACACATGAGGTGGGGAAGGGAGGGAGGAGGGAGGGATAGGGAAGCGGAGTGGCAGGTGGATGTGCGAGCAGGATAATCAGGTATGGCAACGGGGAAGGGGCGGGGAGTGGCATCGACAAGCAAGGGAAAATGGGCGGGGAGTGGCGCTGAAACAAGCAAAGGGGGCATGAGAGTGAGACAAAAGTGCCTGAGCCTGCCTGTAAGGCAATGGCGATTGAAGTGAGCAGGGGGCATGCGCACAAAGGGCGATGGGCAAGAGGGCCATGATGTGTGTGCACGGCCCAAGGGGGGCAAGAGCAAGATGGCAAGTGCGTAAGGTGGCAAGGGACAAGGGGACGCACGGGGCCCATGAAGGCGGGGACGGGCGGGAACATGGAGTACATGCGCTGCTGCACCGCCGCCATCATCTCCCCCTTGGTGCTCCGGAACAGCTCCACGTACCGCTGCCGCGCGCACAGGCCGGGGGAAGGGGCGCGCGGGGAGTGGAGGGGGCGCGGGGAGTAGAGGGGGCGCGGGGAGTAGAGGGGGCGCGGGGAGTAGAGGGGGCGCGGGGAGTGAGGACATGGGGGAAGAGGTGAGGAGTGAGCGGCAGAGGTGGAGGAGCAAAGGCAGGAAGGCAGACGAGAAGGGGCGAGAGAACGAGGAGCGGGCGTTGAATGGCATGCGGGAAACGCAAGCAGGCAAGACGCGCGTGAGAAGAAAGGAAGCAAGCGAGCGGGGGGGAGCAAGGGAGTAGGGGGGAGTGTGAGCGCACATGGCCCATTGGTTCCCGGTGCAGCTGCAGCGCCCTCGCCGCCGTCTCCTCATTCGCAAACTCCACAAACGCCTGCCCACCCCACCCGCCCACACAGGACGCCCACGCACGCCACACATGCACGCCACACATGCACGCCACACATGCACGCCACACATGCACGTCCCGCATGACATGCAAGCAAGAAAGGAGGAGTGTGAGAGAAGCACGAGCAGACGCGCTGATAAAGAAGCTTTGCTGCCCGGAAATGAACGAAATGACCCAACACTAGTCTATATGAACTGACATAAACCGACATGAACTGTTATGAACCCATCTGAGTGCAAGGGCGTGCAGTGCAAGGCGGCGGGGGGCCACCTCGCCGGTGGCGCGGCCGTCGGGGTGCGAGCAGAGGAAGATGCCGTCGTGCGCCACCTGCATGCCCTTGAAGAACGCCGCTATGTCTGCCGACGTCGCGCTGCGCGCACGCACACACCGCGTACGGGAGAGCGGGGCCAGAGCGGTGAGCGGGGAGCGCGGGGAGGGAGGGGCAAAGAGAGCGCGGAAAAGATTGAGGTGCAGGAAGCTGGGAACGGAAGCGGGAGAGACAATGCAGACAGGACGCGTGGTGCGCAGCACGAAACTGGAGGAAACGCATGGCAGTAGCGCAAGGACGCACATTGATGATAGAGCATGCATGGCACGTGGGGCAAGGGGAGGGCAGAGCGCGCACCTATAGGGCATGCCGCGCATGCGGATGACGCCGCTGTAGCGCATGTCCGTGTTGCCCGCCATCCCTGGCACCCCAGCCCCCGCAGCACCACCCGCAAGCAGCCCAGATGTTGCCGCCGCCATATTGCCGCCCATGCCCGCCATGCCCATATTAGGCGCCCCCGCCCCCGGACCAGCACCAGCAGCACCGCCCCTGCCCGCCATCCGCAAGGCCCCCTGCATTCCACGGCGCATGCAACGCAATCCACACGAGGCCATGCCACCACGCCACCACTCCATTCCATTGCGCCATCCCGGCTAACCGCACAGCACCGCACTATCCGCTCGCGGGGACCGTGGAAATGACATGGTATAGGAGAGCAGCTAGTCTACACATGCACGCGCGCACGACGGAAATCAGACATGCGAGATGGAAAACCGCGAGCACGCACCTCCATGTCTGCTGCATGCCCCTTGAAAACCTCGATATAGCGCGATCCGATGTGCTGCCTGGAAGCAACACAGATATAGGTGTGAGACAGGGGCAGCAACACTCTGTGCAGATCTCAACGCGCAAAGCGCAAAGCGCGCCAATGGCATACGGGGAGGGAATGCTCTCACCTGTTACGCTCGAGGGCTTTGGTCGCATTCTCCGCGTCCGCGAAGCGAACGAACGCCTGACCCGTCGCTCGACCTGCCGTCGCATGGCGAGAACGCATGAATGGGAGAATGCGAGAGGACGAGAAGAAGGCACGTGAGAGCAGCACAAGGCAAATGAAGAAGACCAGCGAGGATCGCCGCTCACCTATCGAAGAAATGAGCAACGAGGACCCTAGGACTGACGATGACGTCACCTTGGTAGTTAAGCTGCAGGACGATGCCGTCGGGCGCGATGTCGAGCCCATCGAAGAAGGATTTAATGTCCGACTCCGTCGCGCTGAACGGCAGCCCGCGCAGCCTCACCACGAGGCTCCTCGCTCTGCCATTCATTAACGCTCGGGAGAGCGAGTGCGGGATGAGACGCAGGGGGTAGATGGCAAATGAGGCAGCAGCGAAGGAAGCAGCGAACCAGATTAGTGAGATTCGTGACAAGCGGGCAGGCGAGGATACGGAGCGGAACTCGAGGTACTCACAGCTCATCGTCGAGCGAACCGTTTCCGGCAAGACCACCGCCTGACATGCTGGCTGAGCAAGACGGTAGCAAGAGAGAGGAGATTCGGGCCGTCTTTTACGGGATGATGGAACTTTGATTCGAAGCGACAAAAACAAAACCCTATTTTGATGAGGCACAGATATTTTTGCTGAAAACCACCAGTCAGGCATGCTGGTGGAGATCCCAGAGTTGGGATCATGTTGACCACTGCGTGATTCGTTATAGAGACTTCGTGCTCAACTGCAATTAATCTATCCAGTCAATAATGATGATCGTGATGGAAAACAATTTCTCTCCATCAAAATGTCTGACGCGGCGAGATCTGTCGTGTATCGGGTCACGGATGTACCAGCGTGGCACCAATCACAACAACCGCGTCATCCACGGCACTTCCCGCATTCACCTTCCCGCCAATTCCTTCATTCCGCACTTCCCTGCAGCACCGTCCGCCACTTCCAGCGAATCCGCATCTCGCCTCCGCACCACTAGCCACTCGCTTCCCGCCACGCATCCCTGCACAGTCAGCACCTCCATCCCCCTACAATGCCCAGCTGGACCGGGGCATTTCCCAAGGCAGCTCTGGCAGTCCCAAGGGCGAGCCAGCTAAGGCAATCTCGAGGCTGTGCTGCTTGCTGCTACTGCCTCGTCCTTGATCTTCTTGATGCTTCCACTGGGACATATATTTCCTAGTCCAAGGAAATAGACTTATCATTGTCATTTTTTTTTTTCGTCACCGACGGATCTCAGTTGTGCCTCCTTGGTCGCCCATACTCGTTCCCATGGCGTCCATTGCCACGTCAGCAGAGCGTGCAGTAGCTCTCCAGTCGCTTGGCCTTCGATCCGCTGCTGCTGCGGAGTCCCTTGCCAGCAGCTCCTCGCATGCATTTTCCCCGCTAAAAGTAACCCCTCTTAGGTAAGTCCGGCCACCCAATAACGACCGTCAAATATATGTAATGGACGAGTTGATCGTCTGTCAATGCCGCCATGATCACAACGCATCCCCATGGCCTCCCACATTTCCCTCTCGTGCCTGCCGTGCCTGCAGTGCTGCTCGCACCAGATCGTCGTCTACGAGGTCCAATGTCGCCACCGTGCGCGCCTCCTCCGACTCAGGCACGTGACATCCCACGCCATTCAACACCATGCTACATCATTGAACAGTATTTAATTCACCACCATTCAACAACAGCACACATTGTCGTACCTCTAAATCCTGGCAGTCTACGCCACGTCACTCAGCCTATCGGCCATCCGTCGTTTGCGGACGACGAAGAACCTCATAGTTTGATTATCGTGCCGCCTGTTGACCTCCTACAAGAATCGTGCTCGTCCCTGTCGCCAGTGATCCACTTACCCGGCTGTTGAACATTCATGAAATATACGTCGATTGTTTCCCCATGCACCCGTGTGCGACGTCGCAGAGTATCGCACGGGCGTGAAGCGCAACCACAACATCGGCAAGCTTCAGGCGGGCTACCTCTTCCCCGAGGTACGCTGCTCGCCCCTCCCACTGCCCGCCCCACTCCGCAACCACCGAGCTATTCCTTTTCCCCAACGCTCGACCCCAATCCACCGCCCCGGCCAGCTAAATCACAACCGCATTACTCTGACGTTACTCCTCCCCAACCCCGGGGCGTTCCCTACCCGTCTTCCCCGCATGCTTTTCCCTCGCAGATCGCGCGGCGGCGGCGCGCGCACCTGGAGAAGCACCCCGAGGCGAAGATCATCAGCCTGGGCATCGGCGATACCACGGAGCCCATCCCTGACGTCATCACCGCCGCCATGGCCAAGGTGCGCCCGTTGGGTGGGTGGGGAAAAGTGGGAGGTTGTGGTAGTGGGGGGTGGGGTGGTGGGGGTTGGGGGGTTTCATGGGAGTCAGTGCGTGTCGTGATGGCGGATGTGCCTAACGAGGTTGAATTTGAACATTGGTGCAAAACAAGCCAGCAACGCACGTCGCACGCAGGGGAACTTTAGTATGGTAAATTATTTGGGTACGAGTAAGCAATTGGAGCACAGTCTGTTCGTGACAAAACGAATTTGATAGCATAGGTGATCGGGCACGATGTCAACTACTCGTCGGCCGTCCTTGCTGACGCCATTCCCCTCCCCATCCCCTCTCTCTCTTTCCCCCCCCCCCACCCCATCCTCTCCCGCTGTAACTCGCAGAGGGCGCAAGGGCTGTCAACGCCAGCGGGGTATTCTGGCTATGGCGCCGAGCAGGGCGAGCAGGTGGGCGGACAGGGGGAAAAGTTGGGGGGAATGCGACGAGACGGGGGTGGAAGGGAGGGGGCGAGAGGAAGAGGGGTTGCTTATATGAGGAGTGGGGTGTGAGTCCAGTGGGCTGTGTAACAACCGTAGATGCTCACAACACTGCATTTTCTCTTATCTCCATGTCACGACAAGCAGCCCCACTGCGGCCGCGCTGCTGCCTCATGCCACACCGCACCACCCCTTCCCCACATGCTCACTCCGCCCGCGGCTACCCCTTGCCCCACCAGGCCCTGCGCGCGGCCATCTGTGCAACGTGGTACAGCAAGCTGGGCATCACGGAGGACGAGGTGTTCGTGTCTGACGGTGCCAAGTGCGACATTGCGCGCCTGCAGGTGGGCGTTTCAGACTGCAGGTGGGCGTTTCAGACTGCAGGTGGGCGTTTCAGACTGCAGGTGGGCGCTTGAGACTGCAGGTGGGCCTTTGAGACTGCTCAGTGATTTCTTACGAGACAAAGCCTATCCTTCATGCTCTCTCATGCCGCCATGCCCTCGTATGTGTTCCCCCGTTTCTTGTATGGACGTGCTTCACTGGGTTACACTGCCTCACCGTCTCCTCACACCCTCCCCCCCCTGGCTCTACCCCCCCCGCGCCCCCCCTCTCCTCCCCCCCTTCCATTCCCCATCACTCAACCAGATGATGTTCGGCGCTGACGTCACCATGGCCTGCCAAGACCCTTCCTATCCGGTATGACCCATGTTCGCCCTCCCATCCTCGCCCTCCCATCCTCGCCCTCCCATCCTCGCCCTCCCATCCTCGCCCTCCCATCCTCGCCCTCCCATCCTCGCCCTCCCATCCTCGCCCTCCCATCCTCGCCCTCCCATCCTCGCCCTCCCATCCTCGCCCTCCCATCCTCGCCCTCCCATCCTCGCCCTCCATCCTCGCCCTCCCATCCTCGCCCTCCCATCCTCGCCCTCCCATCCTCGCCCTCCCATCCTCGCCCTCCCATCCTCGCCCTCCCATCCTCGCCCTCCCATCCTCGCCCTCCCATCCTCGCCCTCCCATCCTCGCCCTCCCATCCTCGCCCTCCCATCCTCGCCCTCCCATCCTCGCCCTCCCATCCTCGCCCTCCCATCCTCGCCCTCCCATCCTCGCCCTCCCATCCTCGCCCTCCCATCCTCGCCCTCCCATCCTCGCCCTCCCATCCTCGCCCTCCCATCCTCGCCCTCCCATCCTCGCCCTCCCATCCTCGCCCTCCCATCCTCGCCCTCCCATCCTCGCCACTCCCATCTCGCCCTCCATCCTCGCCCTCCCATCCTCGCCCTCCATCCTCGCCCTCCCATCCTCGCCCTCCCATCCTCGCCCTCCCATCCTCGCCCTCCCATCCTCGCCCTCCCATCCTCGCCCTCCCATCCTCGCCCTCCCATCCTCGCCCTCCCATCCTCGCCCTCCCATCCTCGCCCTCCATCCTCGCCCTCCCATCCTCGCCCTCCCATCCTCGCCCTCCCATCCTCGCCCTCCCATCCTCGCCCTCCCATCCTCGCCCTCCCATCCTCGCCCTCCCATCCTCGCCCCTCCCATCCTCGCCCTCCCATCCTCGCCCTCCCATCCTCGCCCTCCCATCCTCGCCCTCCCATCCTCGCCCTCCCATCCTCGCCCTCCCATCCTCGCCCTCGCCATCCTCGCCCTCCCATCCTCGCCCTCCCATCCTCGCCCCTCCCATCCTCGCCCTCCCATCCTCGCCCTCCCATCCTCGCCCTCCCATCCTCGCCCATCCATCCTCGCCCTCCCATCCTCGCATCCTCGCCCTCCATCCTCGCCCTCCCATCCTCGCCCTCCCATCCTCGCCTCCATCCTCGCCCTCCCATCCTCGCCCTCCCATCCTCGCCCTCCATCCTCGCCCTCCCATCCTCGCCCTCCCATCCTCGCCCTCCCATCCTCGCCCTCCATCCTCGCCCTCCCATCCTCGCCCTCCATCCTCGCCCTCCCATCCTCGCCCTCCCATCCTCGCCCTCCCATCCTCGCCCTCCATCCTCGCCCTCCCATCCTCGCCCTCCCATCCTCGCCCTCCCATCCTCGCCTCCCATCCTCGCCCTCCCATCCTCGCCCTCCCATCCTCGCCCTCCCATCCTCGCCCTCCCATCCTCGCCCTCCATCCTCGCCCTCCCATCCTCGCCCTCCCATCCTCGCCCTCCCATCCTCGCCCTCCCATCCTCGCCCTCCCATCCTCGCCCTCCCATCCTCGCCCTCCCATCCTCGCCCTCCCATCCTCGCCCTCCCATCCTCGCCCTCCCATCCTCGCCCTCCCATCCTCGCCCTCCCATCCTCGCCCTCCCATCCTCGCCCTCCCATCCTCGCCCTCCCATCCTCGCCCTCCCATCCTCGCCCTCCCATCCTCGCCCTCCCATCCTCGCCCTCCCATCCTCGCCCTCCCATCCTCGCCCTCCCATCCTCGCCCTCCATCCTCGCCCTCCCATCCTCGCCCTCCCATCCTCGCCCTCCCATCCTCGCCCTCCCATCCTCGCCCTCCCATCCTCGCCCTCCCATCCTCGCCCTCCCATCCTCGCCCTCCCATCCTCGCCCTCCCATCCTCGCCCTCCCATCCTCGCCCTCGCCATCCTCGCCCTCCCATCCTCGCCCTCCCATCCTCGCCCTCCCATCCTCGCCCTCCCATCCTCGCCCTCCCATCCTCGCCCTCCCATCCTCGCCCTCCCATCCTCGCCCTCCCATCCTCGCCCTCCCATCCTCGCCCTCCCATCCTCGCCCTCCCATCCTTCCC